TTTCACCTTTTGCGACTGCGGGTTCCCAACCTGTTTTCATATTGAAATATACTTCGAAAAGACTATTTTTTACCTCTCCTATTTGATTGACATATGATCGTTTTGTAAATTTTTCACTTAAATTGTCAAGACCATTTTCTAAACGTGTAATTTAATTTAGGATCAATATAGCACTAAACAATAAGAAAAGGAACGGGTTTCCAATATTTCAAAAAAAAAAATTTCCATTGCCTTTAGGTGCATGTAAATTTCATTGTCTTTGTTTTTGTAAATAACTCGGAATTTTTTAATGCATGTATTACCAATGACTAGTAGGATAATACACACCAGAAGTTGTAAGTGGCTTGGTAAAAAACTTTGAGAAAAGTGATTACTTAGCTATCTTCCAATCATTTTCTACCAAATGGAGGACCTCTATTATTTGCTACAAAATACTAATTATATTAGCATAAGGTAAACATAAATCAAGCATTAAATAAGTACTATTCCATCTAACAGGCATATCTAATGCAAAAGTTCTAGGAGAATATTTGATTTTTATACAAGCTTCTTGAAAATCAGCATTTCTTTATTACTACCAGTAATCCAAGCTAAAGTCCCTAATTCTATCAATATTTGTTTAATTGTTTTCATACCACTTTCACAATTAAATTAATAACATGACATGCACAACGTTGGTGAAAAAACTTCAAATTATTATATAAAGATAATTATTTGAAAAAAATTCATAGCTTTACTATTAGAACTCGCATTATCAAAGTTAAACTTTCACTTTATCAATAATTATCTAATCTATAAACTTCAATAATTTTATTATAGATTTCTAAACCCCTAGATTCACATCCATAATCTAAATCCTAATAAAGATTTATTTAATTTAAATTCATTATCAAAATAATGATAGTCACACAATATAACTGTTTAGCTTTTCCACTCCAAATATCAGCAGTTAAAGCCACACTAATATGACAAGTATGAAATTTATTTTTTAATTCTAATTTCATTTTTTTAAACAATTTATTAAATCATTTCTAGTTGCAGTTTAGAATAACTTTTAAATCCTGGAAAAAATGAATTTTGAACAAATCTTTCAAAATATTTATCTTCTGCCATATTAATAGGTTGATGAGAGCAGCATATATAAAGCTAACTGTTCCCTATATACATCAGAATTAACGCCAAGTAGTACCCTATTAGTTTGAGTTTGATTGCTCTCTATTTCCATGTTGATTAATGTTTATTAGCATGCCTTTTAAAGTACTAGTACACATACCTAAATCAGCTTTATAAACATTTTCACAATATTTGCATCTTGCTTTCTGACTTGAACGCCATTTTTTGTCTCGTAAAACTTGTCGAAATGCACCCAAACGTCTGATGTGTGTCTGTTTTCGCTTTCGACGGCAGTTGATGATCCGCCTCAACTTGAGATGAATTGGACGAGGACGATGATTACGAGGACGACTTCTAGAACCACGGGCGCTGTTGGAATCGACGACATATTTTGAGGTATCGGATTCTGAGGAGGATTGTTAGGACGCGGGACTATTTGAATCTCCTGCATTCATAGTAAAATCAGCGGATAGGACTGGATAATAGTTTTCTTCCTCATTGAAATTGATGGGAGAGAAATACTATCCATTGTAGACTTGTAGTTAAAGAAAAAAATGATGTAGAAGAAATAAAAATTAAGAAAGAGATTTGGAATATGGAAATGGAAATTGAATTGAAAATTGCAAAACCTAATAAAAATTAAAATAGAGCAAATTGATAACAAAAATATTAAGAGAATAAAGATAATTGAGACTGAGAGTTGAGAGATAGAGATTAGAATAGAGATATGAGAAAATGAGAGAATTTGAGTTGTGAGAAAAATATGAGAGTTTAAGGCCAATTTATAGAAAAAAAATAGGGAAGAAAATGACGAAAAAGACCCTCTCAACGGTTATAAACGGCTATATTTCAAGGGTAAAAGTGTAATGTAAAAAAAAAAAAAAATTTACATTTTTTTTTTTTTTGGGGCCAACCCGGCGGGTTGGCCGTTGGCAACAGCCAACATACCAACCCGCCAGCAACGCCGGGTTGCGGGCTTTTGCAAGAAGGACAAATTGAACCGCGGGCCGCCGGTTACCATTTGCAACCGGCCGCCGGGGGTGCTGGCGGGTTGGGCTCAACCGGCCCGCCATTAGGCGGGCCGGTTTAAGCCCTCTTTTTTACGGGGGTTAGGGTTGGCCCATCTAACGGCCCATTTTTTCCACCTCTATTCATTATGAAGAAACAACCAAGAAATGACCGTTCTAAATAAGGAACAATCTTCCTAATAGAGGAACAACCATTTCTTATGTAAAGAATGGAGTTTCTTTGGTTTCTTAAGGAACAACCGTTCCTTCACAAGTAATGATCGTTCCTTCTGAAGGAACGACCCGTTCGTTTCTTGTAGTTTCTTTAGTGTTTTGGGTGTAGTGAGAGCTGACATGATAGTGTTAATCTGTTAACTGTTTAGGGTGTAAGAGAAGGTTATAAGATTGAGTTGTAAACGTAGAATTTTCATTAGTTAATTCACCATTTTTAAAAAGGTTTTATCTTGGATAATACTTCATATACAAATTTTAATAAACTGATATAATTTAAGTGATTGAGATTTTAAATTAATAATTAAAAGAATTACAAGACAAACATGTCAGGTTGCCACATCAGTTATAGGAAATAGTTTGTATATATATATACTCTACAAATTGTGAGGGGTAGAGAGGAGAAACACGGTTTTCATCATCATTGATGATTTAGTGTACTTGGTCAATTCAAGTCTTACCAGGGAGGAAGTATGTTAATTGTATGTTAAAGTTCTTGAAATTATAATTATATGATTATGTCTTACTAATTACCATGAAATATTTTATATATGGTATCATAGCCCTGTCAAGGAACTTGGGATTTTCCCTTTAAGTGATTGATATTTATTTACTTCTAAGAACTTTGAAATTAAAAAAAAAAAAAAAATATAGACTTTTAATTTTTAAACGTATAATTTTCCTAAGCTGTACGTGGCTTCAAGGAGTATGGGTTTTGGCTTTGGCATATGTGGATTTGTGTGCATTATAACCGTGTTAATATGAAATTTAAATAAATCTGTGGTGGATGCTTGGATGATGTCTTTCTCGGTGACTCTAGTAATAAATTTCTTAAAGAATGTAAAGTTTTGCATAATCCCCTATCTTTTGTGTGATATTTTTAAAAATATTAACATTCTAAATCTATTTTTTTAATACTTTATTTCATATCAAAAGACTATAAAACTATCCTAAACACATAAACACGATCATATATAACAAATCAATACAAATAACAACTTTAAGTAACCCCAATAAAAAACAACAGGATTTTCTAAGCTATAGCCACCATTCATTTTTATGACAATTAGGTACTTTCATGGGAAGACGCGGTAAAAGAAGAAAATAAGAGAAGGGCCTTATTTTTGAGAGTCGCATTTGAATGTGGTCATTAGTTAATGCACCATTTTAAAAAGGTTTATTTTAAGCAAATTTCCCTAATCTCAAATTAATTTTGCTTGTTTTTGGGCTAATTATTGATTGTTTATTACTCATATATATTGGCCTTGTTAATGTAATGATACTAAATGTCAAATTTCTATAAAAACTTTCTACAAAGCTGACGTGTTATAAAATGATAAGATAATTTGTATACAAAATCAATTCTAATCTGATAATAAAAAAAGTCACATCAGTTTAAATACATATTATACATGTAACACCACTGAAATATGTATATACATTGTTTATACATGTAGCACCACTGAATTTATGTATAAGAGGTAATTTTCAAACCTCATATGTTTTATTAGTAATCATGCTTAAAAAACATAATTGTAATGAATACAATAAAATAATTGTAAACATTTACTCAAACTTCACTCTCAACTTCCTTTCTTCAATTAATAAAGTAAATATTAATATAATGAAATAAATAATAAAAGTTATTATATGTTCTATCTCAGTTTTAGTTTCACTCTCAAATGATAGCAAATCCTTGGTATTTATTGCTAGAGTATAACATTTTTTCGTGTTAGACTTATATGGTATGTGGATTGGTTTTTTTTTTTTTTGACTAGGAGTGTTCAAGACTCTCATCCACCCTTGAGGCCTTGGAGTGACTCAGGTAAGCCCCTCAGTGGTTACCCCTATTAGGGCATATGGAAACTCAAATTCAAGAGCTATGAAACCTCCTTTTATCTTTTACTATTAGGTCATTCAGTGGTGATTCCATGTGATTGTTATTAGTGATAATTTGTTAAGATTTTTTTTTTGGGATGATCTATTTATATGAGGAACAGAGACCTCCAAGACAAGAGATAGAGAGATTAATTGACAAAATTCTTCATTGATAACCACAATTTAGATTATGCTATTATATAGCCTTGCACTTGATTCAAATGACTCCAAAAAGGACTTAATTGCCTAATTAAATCAATAAGATTTCTATCATAATTATAAAAGGTAATAAAGATATTCTATCCTAATAGATAATAGCATAATTATAAAAGTTATTATAAGACTTAATACAATTATAAAGACTTAACATAATTATCCTAATTCTAAATAATCTCGCATTGCCTTCCCTTCGGCTCAACCTTGTCCTCAAGGTTGCAAGGTACGACACCATCAACAATAGTTATCCTGGTTATCCTCGTGCTCATCACATCCCCTCCATCGCAAGAGAAAGAACTTGGCCTGCAGCGCATGCCCAGGTTGAAAGCGCTCATCGCAATATAGCAACAAACCTTTGTTGCGCGTTCTTGCATATATGTCGCCGTGAGTCGCTTACAGGCAAGGAACTATTGTTTTGGAGTCTGCAAAAGGGCCTATTGTGTTAAGGAACATTAGGAGTTGATTTACTAGGATTGCAGATAGGGGGCTGATAGATTGCAAGTATAAGTGTAGATCCTGCAGCTTATCCTCCTGCAAGTGGGCAAGACTCATGGCATGGTTGAGGGTGTGAGGCCGAAAGGATTGCACCTCCTTCAGATTTCTGGTTTGAGCCCTGATACAAAGCAACTTAGAAGGAATGTACCTGAAGGCAGAAACTTGATTAGAAGTTTCTCAATTCTATTTGATAAGCGACTACAAACCTATTTGAGTTAGTTTTGGCAACTGGCCAATATTCAAGTTCATCCTGAGAGAGATGAAGCTGATCAACCTCCACGTGAAAGGAAAAGGGGTATTTTTTTAGAGGTTGAAGTTTTTATATTTATTGTTTTCGATTTAAGATGATATTTGTGAATTTATTTTTTGTTTCTAACATGTATATTTAGGAGAGCCATGGACGGAGGAAGAACACCAACGCTTTTTGACGGCGTTGAAAAAGGTTGGGAGAGGAAATTGGAAAAAGATTTCAATGGAATATGTGCACACCAGAACCCCAACGCAAATCGCTAGTCATGCTCAAAAGTATTTTCGCAGACAAGCTTTAAATGATAAGAAGAATCGTAGGTCCAGCATATTTGACTTACCATTCCATGGATCTGCTGTAAGTTATCTTCCACATAATATTAAAACAAGAGCATTTTTTTTTTTCTTTTCAATAATGTTGATTTCATGATTTAATCTTGAAGGGGAGTACCTCAAATAATCTGATTGTAAATGAATTCCCAAATCATCGCTTGGAACCTCTCATGAACATTCCACATTACGGTAGGATTCCTTACATGGTAAGAACTAGTTTGAGTTTTGGCAGTTAAAGATTTTAATAGCTTCATTAAATACTATAACTAATTAATTTAACAGGATTCTTTTGAATTCAATATATCTAATTCTTGGAAGCATATGGTTTTATTAATAGGGACCAAGTAATGTGCCATGTCTTTCATACAATATTGAAGCAATGAAGTACTATCAGCTATATGTGTTGAGGTGTAACGCCTTTCACAATTTTAATGCTTGTAGAGCTTCACCAATGGCAATGTCATTGCAAGCTGAAGCCGCTGCTTCCACATCTTCAAATGCAAGAGATGGCGATTCTCTCAACCTTCAAATTGGACTGCCTCAATCCTCCCATCAATACTAGGTTTATTTTATTATACCTCTTTGAGTAATATGAACATTTATTTTACTAATTATTTTGGTATTTGTTATTAGAATTATATTATATTATATTATGACTTATCGGCTTTAATTTTTCAGTAAGATAGTTGAGAAATATTTTTTCCAAATAAACACTTGTGCATGCATGTGGTAATCTCTGGTTGCTCATGACAGGCCTAAAGTTATCGAAGATTTTTGGTTATTCTGTATGATTGCAGAGCTGTATGCTGGTTGACTGGCTCCACCATTGGACCATGTATACATTAAAATACTTAAAATTTCTCGATTTTAATTTAATTATTATTTTTTAATGATATTATTATATTAATTAATTATTACATCTCAATTTATTGTTAATTTGTAAGTTATAAAAATATATGGTAGTTAAAATATGATATTACTATCACTATTTTAATTATTTTATAGTCCATCAAAGAAAACCACATTGATGTTTCAGTACTTAACAATGAACAAAGATTGAAACTTATATAACTATTGTGAATTTGCGTAAACATATAATTTATCAAAATTAATAATATGTGAATTAAATCACCAATTACACAAAAAATACAATAATTATTTATCAAACTTGATTATATATGAAGCAAATCACCAATTAGACAAAAAATACAATAATTATTTATCAAAATTAATAATATGTGAAGCAAATCACCAATTACACAAAAAAATACAATAATTTAATGTGATTTGACATAAACCTTTTGTATACTGATAACAGAAAGAATAAAATACTGATATCTTTGTATAATATTGCAAAGGAGCAATGGCAACAATATCCTTTTTGGTTTTTATGACTCAAATTGATTAGGTAAAGAATGGGAAAGCCGAAAGCAATTGGAATTGGAAAGTGGTTCTCTTTCCACGGCAATTTTGTATTCTAGTAGGCAAGAATTTGAATACACTATAGTCTATAGTATGGGAATGTGTCAGATTTTAGTTTACATAGAAGTGAGATATTTTTCTTGTCCCACATTAACAATAATGTTTATTTTTCTGTTTTTAGTTTAATGGTTTGGTTTTTGCAAATAAAAATGTGGTTGAATTAAAAGAAATTGGAAGTAGTTATGGAAACTGATTTCAGGAAAAAAATTGAATAGTGCGGGCACGAGTGGAGTCACTTAGGGGGCACACGGTAAATTTAGAAATTGTAAAGGACTGATTAAAACTTTGTAAGCGAACCTTTTGATATTTTACAGATCCACAATAAATCGACGGCGTCTCTGCGCTGGGGTGATGGGAAAATGTTAAGACTGTTAGTACAATGTAAAATATCACAAAAGCCCCTATACTTTTTGTGAATGACATTCTTAATCTTTTTTTTAATACTTTTATTCGTATTAAAAGACTATAAAAACTATCCTAAACACATAAACACCATTATATATAACAAATCAATACAAAATAACAACTTTAAGTAACCCCGATAAAAAACATTAGGTATTTTCTGAGCCCATAGCTACAATTCATTTTATATTTTTATGACAATTAGGTACTTTCATGAAGAAGAGAGGGGTATAAAAGGAAAAAAATAGGACAAGGGTCTTATTTTAGAGTTGCATTTGAATGTGGTCATTAGTTAAGAGTAACACTATGCCAACAACATTTTCTTACAAACATTTTTTACAATTCCCGACATGGCAACTAAGTTGACGCTATCACGTCAAAATGATTTTGACTAGACCAAAAAGACAATCATTCCTAATGATCGTTCATTATTAAAGGTGGAAAAGTAACCCACCCGGCCTGGCCCGCGGCGGGTTACATGCTTTGGCGGGCTGGGCTTAACCCGCCCGCCAACAAAGGCGGGCCGGGTTAGGCCCCCCAATTTAGGGAGAGTGGCTGGCCCAGCCCGGCTCGCCAGCCCTAACCTGCCGGGTTAGGCACGGTCCGGGCCTGGTTAGCCCGATTTTCTTTTTTTTTTTGTGTTTTTTTTATTTTTTTTGTTTTTTTAATTTAACTTTTCAAATAAATAATTATAAATATAATTGTTTTTAGTTAACTTTTCAAATATCAATAATTCAATTCAATTCAATTTTTTTTTTTGTTAACATTTCAAATATTAATTCAATTTTAATACAATAAAATTGTAATATAAGAAAAAAGAGTGCAATAATTGACAATTAATTTACAAATTACATTTTACAAAACAACTAAATTGGGGGTGGTTCACTAGGACCTCCCTCATCTGTATCATCTATATTACAAAATTGAAATGATTCTACTAAAGCATTGTCGATAACCTCGTATTGATCTTGATGGCGCGATCGTTNGGTCTCCGCCATGAGAGAGCGGAATGCATGTAAACCGCTATGAGAGAGAGCGGTCTCCGCCATGAGAAAGCGGAATGAGATTGAGAAAAAGAAAAGAATAGAAAGAAAAGAAAGAAAGAAAATGAGATTTTTGAAATTGATGAGTAATGCACGGGGATGATAGAGTAAGAGAATTTTTACTTACTAGGCATCTTTGTGCTCACTCCGTGTTTTCCTTGTTGTACAGGACATAGGTGAGGACCTGGTCGGAGGGACGTCGGCAAGCGGGGAGACTTGGCTGCACTATCCACTGTTTTCATTTTTCAGAGTCTTTTGTACAAATGATGGTGTACTTTGTAAAGAATGTAATTATTAAGTAAAGAAAAAAAATTTTGGACCCAACTGTTTTGATAATTATGCTGTCTTTTTATTAATCTATATTATGAATATGGTAGAAGAAAGTAGTTGTTACAGAAGGGAAGATGGAGGAAGCTAATGGCTTGATGGAATTGATGAGTCAAAGAGGTTTGTAGCCTAATGTGGTGACGTTCACTACAATGATAAATGAGCTTTGCAAGGTGGGGAAGATGGAGGAAGTTAATGGGTTGTTTGAATTGATGAATCAAAAAGGGTTGCAACCTAATGTGGTGACTTTTAATTCAATGATAAATGGGCTTTGCAAGGAGAAGAATATGGAGAAAGTTAATGGGTTGTTAGAATTGATGAGTCAAAGAGGTTTGCAGCCTGATGTGGTGACATTTACTACACTAATAAATGGGCTTTACAAGGAGGGGAAGATAGAGAAAGCTAATAGGTTGTTGGAATTAATGAGTCAAATAGGTTTACAACTTGATGTGGTGACATTTACTACAATAATAAATGGGCTTTGCAAGGAGGTGAAGACAGAGGAAGCTAATGGGTTGTTGGAATTAATGAATCAAGAAGGTTTGCAGCCTAATTTGGTGACTTTTACTACAATGATAAATGGGCTTTGCACAGAGGGGAAGATGGAGGAAGCTAATGGGTTGTTCAAATTGATGAATCAAAGGGGTTTGCAACCTGATTTGGTGACTTTTAATACAATGATAAATGGCTTTCCAAGGAGGGGAAGATGGAGGAAGCCTATGGATTGTGTAACGCCCCACTTGAGGTACGTACTTAAGATTTGCTGTTTTGCTTAAATGTTTATTGATTCAGCTTTAATTGAGTTTGTATATTGAGTTGGTTGAGTGTTTGCCTTGAAATTGGTTGAGATTTGAGGAATTTTAGATTTGCAGTCTTCGCCAGGGCGAAGAATAGTCTTCACCGCGGCGATGTTGGCCTTGAGTAAGGCGGTGTAGGCTCTGTATTTCTTCGCCGAGGAGACGGAAGTTTCTTCGCCGCGGCGACAGCCGACTAAAATGTGTATTGAGATTTCTAGATATTTTTCCATAAGGGTTAAATGACCATTCTACCCCTAATTAGTAGGAAAAGTGGGGAGTAAAATGTAAGGAAATTTCATGGAGAATATGTTAGTGTAGGGGTGTGATTGTAATGAATCAAAGGATATAGGTGAAATTTCCAAGAAATAGCAAGGGCATTATGGGAATGAATAAGGATATTTTGAGCTAAAAAGGGTTGAAGCTTAGTGAACCCTTCATTCATTCTTCTTCCACCACCTCCTTCATTCTCCATTCCTCTCAAGTTTTCCTTCAATCTTTCAAGGATTCAAGAGGGCTTTTTGAGTAGTTTGAAGTGGGAAGTTATTCTAAAACATCCTAAGGTAAGGATTCTTGCTTTAGATGTTAATTTTACCTTTATATGAAGTGAAGTCTTATAGCATGGTTGGTAAAAATTGTAGAGAATAGACATGTCATCAAAGGTAAAGAGAAGTACTAGTGGAATCACTCCATCACAAGTAAGTAAAATCCAACTCAAGCTAAAGTTTAAGAAATCATTTGAGTAGAGATTTTCTTTATGTTTGTATGTATTAAGCTTGTTGGGAAATTGAGTTGAGATGTTATGAGTATTTATCCATGTTGTGATTGATTACACTTCATTTAAAAGAAGTGTTAAAATATGATGAGAAGATGAAGTTTGAGATGGAGTTTGGAAGGTTTTGAGTGAACCTTTTTAGAAGTGTTATTCCTTGGCAGGATTTGTAGCTTTGTGAGGGAGTTTTCTCCCATTTTGGATGGTTAAGAAAGAAATAGAGTTATTGTTATAGTAGAGTTTGTATATGCACTTAAGTTATTTGATGAAATGCCTAAGAGAAGCATGAGAATGAGTTATGAACCTTAATTATTGCAACATTGCATATTGGCATTTCCTAAGTGCATCAATGAGCATGAACCATCCATATGCATTAATTGTGCATTGAGAAAGAACTTGAGAAAAAGTTGAGAAAGAGTAATGAATTACTCTAAAAGTTAAGCTACACTATGATGAGTAGCTAGAGAAAGAGTAGAGACCTTGTGCACAAGCTACCCTAAGAGTTAGAGAAGAGAATAGAGTAAGTTGTGCAATGGGGAACCCATGAGTGATGAGTAGAGTCACGAGAGTGGGTGCTTTGTGATCCCCAGCCGTGCCTCCGGTTAGAAGAGGCCGTGACTGTCACGAAGAGTGGAACGTGAGGTTCCAGCCATGCCACTGGTACAGAAGTGGTCATGACATTCAGAGAGAGAGAGAGAGAATACATTCACATGGCCAAGGGTTCCGAATCCATGCATGACCA